TGGATGGAACAGCTCTGGTTGTGGTTGGAGCGGCTGTGGTTGTTGTGGTAGGAGCTGTGGTTGTGGTTAGAGGATCAGTGGTTGTTAGGACAGCATTGGTGGTTGTGATTGGAGCAGCTGTGGATGTTGTGGCAGCAGCTGTGGTTGTTGTGACAGCAGCTGTGGTTGTGGTTGGAGCACCTGTGGTTGTTGTGGGAGCAATAACTGTAGTAGTGGCAGCAGCTGTAGTTGTGGTTGGAGCAGCTGTGGTTGTGGTTGGAGCTGCTGTGGTTGTGGATGGAGCAGCAGTAGTAGTGGTTGGAGCAGCTGTGGTTGTGGTTGGACCAGCAGTGGTTGTGGTTGGAGCAGCTGTGGTTGTGATTGAAGCAGGAATGGTTGTTGTGGGAGCAGCTGTGATTGTGGGAACAGCTGTGGTTGTGCTTGGAGCAGCTGTGGTTGTGTTTGGAACAGCTGTCGTTTTTGTGACCGCAGCTGTAGTTGTAGTTGTTGCAGCAGCTGTCGTTGTGGTTGGAGCAGTTGTGGTTGTGGTTGGAACCGCAGCTGTGGTTGTGGTGGCAGCTGTAGTTGTGGTTAGAGCAGCTGTGGTTGTGGTGGGAGCAATATTTGAAGTTGTGGCAGCAGCTGTGGTTGTGCTTGGAGCAGCTGTGGTTGTGCTTGGAGCAGCTATGGTTGTTGTGGGCGCAGCTGTGGTTGTGATTGGAGCAGCTGATGTTGTGCTTGGAGAAGCTGTGGTTGTGCTTGGAGCAGCTGTGGTTGTGCTTGGAGCAGCTGTGGATGTGGTTTGATGCACTGTGGGTATTGTGACAGCAGCTGTGGTTGTGGTTGGAGCAGCTGTGGTTGTGGTGGGAGCAATATTTGTAGTTTTGGCAGCAGCTGTAGTTGTGGTTGGAGCAGCTGTGGTTGTGGGAACATCTGTGGTTGTGCTTGGAGCAGCTGTGGTTGTTGTGGGAGCAGCTGTGGTTGTGCTTGGAGCAGCCATGGTTGTTGTGGGAGCAGCTGTGGTTGTGCTTGGAGCAGCTGTGGTTGTTGTGACAGCAGCTGTGGTTGTGGTGGGAGCAATATTTGTAGTTTGGGCAGCAGTTGTAGTTGTGGTTGGAGCAGCAGTGGTTGTGATTGGAGCAGCTGTGATTGTGATTGAAGCAGGAGTGGATGTTGTGGGAGCAGCTGTGGTTGTGGGAACAGCTGTGGTTGTGCTTGGAGCAGCTGTGGATGTGGTTTGATGCACTGTGGTTGTTGTGACATCAGCTGTGGTTGTGGTTGGAGCAGCTGTGGTTGTGGTGGGAGCAATAATTGTACTTTTGGCAGCAGCTGTAGTTGTGGTTGGAGCAGCTGTAGTTGTGGTTGGAGCAGCAGTGGTTGTGGTTGGAG